TAAAATAAAATTAAGATAATTATTAAGTTCTAACGGAATATTTAATTATTATCTTTATAAAAAAATATTATTAAACCTAAATTAAGTTACTTCGTTACATTAAATTAAGTTATAATAAAAATTTTGAATTAAAAAAATAAACAAACAAGAACTTTTTTAAATAGTTAATTTGATACTAATATTGATATATTTTTTGCAAATTTTATATGATATTTTCAAATTTATATTTTATTCCAAAATAGAAAAATTATCGTTTTTTCAAAAGCACATAAAATCGTATTATATCGACATGAATAAAAAATAAAACGAAATATTGAAATGGAAATATGCCTCGATACATTGCACGAGTACCCTTCTAGTTAAATAAACGAGCTTCTTGTAATTTGTTTACCAGATAATAAATTTGATACAATCTATAACTTTATTAATGGTAATTGTGGTTGGGTCAAAAGTCTTTGCATCCTCAATAATTAATCTCAACATAAGACCAAGTTAAAGAAAAAGTATCCTGAAGGGCTGAATTTACAATAGAGCTGAAACTCAAGGGTGGCTATTTGCATTTCTTTTAAACCAAACAAGAAACATGTTGGAAACTATGTATAGAACCACTTTTTCATGTGAAATATATAATCAAATATTATAATATATAAAATACATAAAATTCTTTTACTTCAGAGTTTGTAATTATATGCAAGAAAAAAAAAATACAAAATAAAAAAGTAATGTTTTGTTTTACATGACATAAGACAATAATGTGATGGAATAAAACCCAATTTTATGTGACAAAACTAAAAAATTTGTTTTACCCAAAAAGGTGAAACAATAATGGATAAAAATACAAAATATTATTTACCCTTTTAACTAACATAATTTAAATTGCTAAATTTTTATTTAATCATAATTCAATTATTATATATTATATTATACTAGGGGGAGGGGGGGTCCATATAGGATATTCCCCAAGTTTCATTTGGAGAAGCATCTGGCAGTCTCAACTTGTTCTTAAAGAGGGTTGTAGATGGAAGATCGGTGCCGGAACATCCATTAAGGTGTGGCATGATCCTTGGCTTCGGGATGACCGAAACTTTCGGATTGAGATGCCTGCTATTGAGACTGAGTCTAACATTCGGGTTAGTGACTTACTTCTCCTCATATCTCATTTTTGGGACTTGGCTAAAGTTAACCATTTATTCTCTCCTCGTGATAGAAAGGAAATTCTAAGTATCCATCCGTCTATGGCTTTGGGTATGGCTATGGATAAAATTATTTGGCATTGGACTACTAATGGTAGTTAGTCCGTTAAAGATTGGTTACCGTGTGATTACCGAAATAATTGACTCGGACTCCTATTTATTCCTTGAAGGCGAATGGGCTCAAATTTGGTGGGCTAGGATACCCCATAAAGTTTGTAATTTCACTTGGAGAGTAGCCAGAGATGTCCTTCCTACACGGGGTTAATCTCCATAAGCGTGGTATTCAAACCTTGTGTACTTGTCTACTTTGTCAACGTAACCCGGAGAATGCTCGCACTTGTTTGTACATTGTCCGTCTACGAGAGAGAGGTTTGGAGGAAGGCGGGGTTATGGGAGCTTGTGGATAGTCGGCCTACAACATCTAACACTTTCACGAAACTCATGCTCTCCATTTTAAAAGATATCCCTGCTCTTGTGGCCGATTGGTTTTTGATGATCGTTTGGAGTCTATAGTATCGATGCAACGATGTTCTTTGGTCTGATGGTTCGACGGATCCCGAAACAGTGGTGACAAGAGAAATCAGTGTCAACTCAGATTGGATAAAGATGGATGAGATGCAGGATCGGGCCGTGGTTGCACCAACCCAAGAATGCTCGCACCTTTAGCATTACCCGCCAAATGATTTTTTGAAATGCAACACTGATGCGACCCTCTTTCTTGACGATGCTAAGGCCGAGATGGGGGGTGGCGATTCAGGATGGCCAAGGTATGGTCTTTGCTTCTAGGATGAAGCCTATTTGTGGTCTACCGCTTGTTCGCGAGCGTGAAGCTTTGGCTCTTCTTGATGCCATGTCATGGGTTGTCGAGTTGGGCTTGCAACGGGTTATCTTTGAAACTGATGCTAAAGTTATTGTTGATGTGGTTACCTCCATGGAAGAGGACGACTCAGAATTTGGGGATATCATTGGTCATATTCGTGACATTCTTCGCCAGCATGCCTTCTTCTCAATTAAGGCTATTAGGAAACAAGCAAATGGGGTGGCTCAGCTCTTGCTCAACTGTCCCAACTTAATTCTTGTCTTGTAACGTTTTCTCATTTACCTTCTACTATGTCTTATTATTTGAAAGATGTTTGTTCTTTGGGAACTCATCAATTTCAGGCTCTTTTCTTTATCTTTTGGTCAATAAAGAAGAATTAACAAAATAAATTACAGTAAATCATTGGGCGTAAATAAAAATCTCTTTTGGGGTTGCTTTTTCTAATAAATGTTATGTTATTTGTACAGGTAACTGGTTTATGGATATGTACTCTTGGAGTAATTGGTCTTGCCTTAAATTTACATGCTTATAACTTTTTTCTTAGGAAATTCAGATATTTGTTGAAAGGATTTTTTTTTTATAAATCTTTAGATAAGGATTCAGAAAACGCAGGATCTCCTTTTACACTTATCGATTGTTGATAAAACTCCAAAATAACGTTTTCTTTTGCCCCTATTTTTTTTTATCATTCAAAAAAGATAAAATTAGTTCAGGAAAATTTTTATTTCATAATTAACAACAATCTATCGAGCTTCCAACCAACATAAATTAGAATCATAAAGTGTAAATGATAAAGTAAGCCGCGTTTTCTGTCTCCACGATGTATTAGAAATTGCTATTTTCGTTCTCATAGTTTTGAAATTACAGTTTTCGTCTTTCTGGTTTATGCGTCATCATTGTTTTCGTCGATGTGGTTAACAATTCATTCATGTTTTTCGTTCCTCATACTTAAAGAAAACCATTAACAGAGCTTCAAAGATGAAAACAATAACGAATTATAAACCACATGAATTAAAATTGAAATTTTAAGAACATAGGGATGAGTATTAAATCTTAACAAATCACCGGGGCGAGAACTAATTTACTCTGAATATTATAGGAAACTGATGAAAAGAGTAATGTTCAATTTTGGTCCCTAAGGTTTGTAATTTTCGATGGATATCATTCTTAAACGTTAAAAACTCGTATTTGATTGTTTATGTTTGTCAATTCTAACGATTTTGGTTTCTCTGTTAATGTTTAACGGTCGCTAATATTTTCCGTTAAGTTCAGCTAAATGAGGGGTATTTTAGTCATTTTCATTATTTTCTTTAATTTTATATTAAAATTAAAAAACATATTATGTTATAAATTGTAAAAAAAAAAAACAAAGAATAACCATCACATTTCCTTTTTTTTACAATTTAAAATTAAAAATATAATATGTTTTTTTATATTTTAATATAATAAAAATAGGGAAACGGATTAAAATGCCCCTCATTAAATTGGATTTTATGAAGAAAGTTTACGACCATTACACAGAAAGACTAAAATCATTGGGAATCGACAAACGTGAAAAACCAAATTCTAGTTTTTGAAGTTTAGAGCGGATATATATATATATATATATATACACAAAAAATGTTAGGGTCCAATTAATGTAACCACAGAGAGAGACTTGAGGTATGCTTCATGGCAAATATTGAGAATTCAACTAAGAAAACAATCAACATTCATGATCATAAACAAAGACACAAGGAATTTGTCTACTTCTGACCCAAAAGTGTCAAAACTTATTACAATTTTACCCCTATATTGTTCATCACAACCATCATTATCAACAAAAACAACGAACCGTTTCTTCAAGGAGTCAGCAAGCATGGCTGGGGTTGTGGCTGCGATGGTGGAGGATTCGTTAACCTGTGGACCACTTCCCTCATCGTAGGCCTAGCCGTGCTCTCGTCCTCCACGCAACTCATTGCGATTTTGAAGAGGTTGATCACACTTGCCAACGGGTACCCTTTGAGCCTTGGATCCAACACCGCTACCACTGCTGCTGCATCCGATGGCTCATAATGCTCCGATATGGTCTCCCGAACCCATCTCACTATATCCACCCCATCACCAAATTCCCCAACCGGCTTTTTACCGGCTATCAGTTCAAGAAGTACAACTCCAAAGCTGTACACATCACTCTTTTCGTCCACTTTTAATGTGTATGCATACTCTGTTATACAACACAATATTATTAGACTGTTGCAAGTATATAAACATAACCAAATGGTCAAGGACCTTGCAGTATTCAGATTACCGGTAGATCTCAACCTTTTAAAGTCAAGGTATAAAAATGTAATATATGATTATGATTCTCAGCATCCGTGGTTATAAAAATGTACTTGAGCTAGTGCATAAAGTAGCAGTACTATAATGTGTGCATTAAAAACTTGTACCTGGTGCAATGTATCCGTAAGATCCAGCAATGGAAGACATGCATTCGGAAGCACCAGAATCCCTCAAGAACTTAGCAAGCCCGAAATCAGCAACATGAGCTTCATAATCGGAATCCAACAGTATATTGTTGGACTTCACGTCTCGATGCAAGATCATCGGCGAGCAATCATGGTGGAGATAACATAATCCCTTGGCGGCCTCCACCGCGATCTTGTACCTCGTTTCCCACTGCAAATGCGCCCCTTTTGGTCCGTGCAAAATCTCTCCTAAGCTCCCATGAGACATGTATTCGTAAATCAGCAAATTGCTTTCACGATTCGATACGTAACCAAGCAATCTCACGATGTTTCTGTGCCTGATCCTTCCTAATGTTTGGATCTCAGCGTCGAACCCATGGTTCCGACCCATTAACCGCTTGATTGCTACGTCAACACCATTGGCCATTGATCCACGGTACACAATTCCAGCACCGCCTTTGCCAATTATATTTTCATCTCTCAAACAATCAAGAACATCTTCAACTTTTAGATCTGAGCGTTGGAAAGTGGTTAGCTTCCAGACTTTGGATCGCTCCAGGTGTTTCTTTTTTATTTTGATGAATGTTAGTATGAATAATGATACAGTTGTGATTAAGGCGATAATCATGATCATCATCTTCGATGTGGTGATCGAATGGTTCTTGTTTTTGGATCTAGAGATGATCGGACAGTGAGCTTTCTCTGGTAAACAAAGGTTTAGGTTACCGGCGAAGATAGTGTCGCTGAAATCCTTCAGCTGTCCGTCCATTGGCACATTGCCGGAGAACTGATTGTACGAAAGGTCCAACACGGTCAAGCTCTTCATGTGACCTAATTTACTCGGAATCTCTCCTTTGAATTGATTTCCAGATACATTAAGGATGTTCAAGTTGAACAAATTTAGAATTCCTCTCGGAAATTCACCAATCAAGTTGTTCCGGCTGAAATCGAGGGAGGTAAGCTGAACACATGTAGCAATAGAAGCCGGAATCTCACCGCTGAGATTATTGTCGCTGACGTTGATTTTGTACAGTTTTTTCAGATTCAACATCTTTTCCGGAATCCCTCCGACAAACTTATTTGATTGCAGAGATAGAGTTGTTAAATTCACCAGATCACCAAACGCCGGAGGTATCTTACCAGTGATCCAGTTGTTAGCCATTGAAACACTTTGAAGAGACTGGCTGTACATTCTCTCCGGAAGTTCGCCAGTGAGGTAGTTGTCGTCGAGCTCGAGCATGGTAAGCTCCGGCAAGTTGAAGATGCCGGCGGGAATAGTTCCGTTGATAAAATTCTTCGTGATTCGAATCTTGGTCAAGGATTTACAGCCGCCAAGCTCTTCCGGTAGGGGTCCAAAGAAGTAATTCTCCATCAGAATCAAAATCCGTAACTTGCCTGAGATCAACGCCAACAGTGATTACGTCAGGTTCTCAACTGGCGCCCATTAACGTCCCCAACCCATTACTCTTTAGATTATATCTTTAAAGATGTGCAATTAACGCCCAATACGAATGATTTTACTGTCTATTTTTGGTAAAATTAATTAACTTTTTTTAATATTATCATTAACCAATAATTAAAATAAAAAACATTAGAATACTCGAAAGATCACATAATATGCACAACCTATGCAATACACTTGTGTCGATAGAGTTTTATAATAACATTTTATTTTAAAAATAAGTGTTTGAAATTGTTTATTTGAAACAATTTATGTTTTTTCTACAAAAGCACTTACCAACTTATTATAAATCAGAAGAGTTTAACTTATTTAAAAATTTCTTATTACCTGTTTGCTGCCGATATAAGTTATTTATCCATACACTCAAAAATACTTATTACCGATGCTACACCGAAATAAATCAATAAATTGTTTTTATAATTAATCCCAAACACCTCCTCCTTTATGTTAAGTAAATAAGAAAAAATAGCATTATATTTCTTTTACGTGGATAGTAGGAAGGATTTTTTAATTAAAAAATATTACCTCCTTTGCACAAATCTTTTGGAACTGGTCCGGTGAGGTGATTTCCGGTGACGTCCAGCATAAGTAGTCTGCCGTTACGGCCGAGATTCTCGGGGAGTTGAAACGTGAAATTATTCTCCCAAATCTCAAGAACCTCAAGATTCGGGAGATCACCGATGAACGGAGGAAGAGGTCCGGCGAGACGGTTGCGGAACAGATTAAGCAACGTCAGATTTTTCAATTCCGAGAACGTCAACGGTATGCCACCGGTTAGATTGTTATTGGAGAGATCAAGCGACATCAAGCTGACTAATCCAGAAAGTTCCGATGGTATTTCGCCGGTGAGATTGTTTAACTGAAGAAACAGAGAATGCAACATCTTCAGGTTTGCAAGGCTTGCCGGAATCTCTCCGGTTAGATTACAACCTCCGAGGTCGAGTAGTTTTAACGATTTGAAAGAACCGAACTCCGGCGGAATTCCTCCTTCGTAACTGTTGAAATACCCGATAAGAAGCTCATGAAGCGTCGACAACCGTGATAAGCTCGCCGGAATCCTCCCGGAAAGCTCGTTTGCTTGCAAACCTAACTTCTGTAAACTCTGGAACTCCGAGTAAGCTTCCGGGATGTGTCCGCTGAAAAAATTACCTCCGAGATACAAAATTTTCAGATTCTTCAACTTCACAAATTCCAACGGCAACCTCCCACTGAAATTATTGTTGTAAACGTCGAACGCCTCCAGCAACGCCATTCCCGCCACAATCCCTCCCGGAAACTCCCCAGTGAGAGAGTTAGCAGAGATATTAATGAATCTAATTGAAGTCAAATTAGATATCTCCATGGGAAGTTCACCGGTGAGTTTATCCGAGACAAGCGTGAGATTGACCAGCTTGTTCAGAATCCCAATCTCCGGCGGGATAGTTCCGAACAGAGGAACATGAGATATCATCAACGACGTCACACGAAAGTTCTCATCACACGAAACTCCAGAAAACGAACAATGTGTATTCAAACTGGAGTTCTCAACTTTCCAGTCATCCAAACCAGACCTGTTTGGTGCGACCATGGAAGCTTTGAGCTTCATCAAAGCATCAAAATCTGAAAACCCATTTGAAAATTCCAAAAGAATCAAGAAGAAAACATGAAGAAAAACAAAATTCATGGTGGAAGATCGCAGAGAAGAAGTGACGAGTGGTGGTACGGTTTTTATAGCCTCAGAGGAAGGAAGAAGTAGAGTAGAGAGAGGTATGATCATGTGGATCGTAAAAGAGGCTTGAACTTCATGCATTATAAGTTGTACGGCTTTTGGATTTTGTAAATTGTAATCTTAGCTCTCGGAAAGGTAGACTTTATTATTATGGGTGCAGAAAAGGGTAGAATCTTGTCTAGAGGATCAATATTGATGGAATAATAACGAACAAATAACTATCCATTTGGCCCTTCTACTACATTGAAAATACGTTTTCGCCCTTGGTCTATAGTTTTTGTTAATTTATAACATTCCTACTACAACCGGAAATTGTCAAAAATAGCCATTTCTTTTACCTTTTCTTATTCATCCTATAGTCTTTTTTGTATACAATTGATTGAAACAGCCAATACTTTGTAAATATCATTTTTACAACTTGTAAAATCTATTTTTAATGACTATAACGTTCATAAAGTAGCAATTTCACAAGTTGTGAAAATGTTACTTACAAAATGTTGACTATGAAAAGGCAACGTAGCACAAAACCATGTGTGGACTGGCTTGTGTTTGCCACATAATTACTCCATACGTCAAACCATTTGATGGAGCATGGTATTTATTGACTTTACAGAGTTGATAAATTGAGGTTCAAAGTTAATTCTTTAGAACTTAAGTGTCAAATGAGTCAACTTCTCATATGGGTGTGAGAGACTATTCCTTCCCAAAGGAATATATTCTCATTGTTGCCTTTTATTTTCATTTTCTTCCATCTATATTATTTTTTATAAACTCGCTTTTTATCGCTAAAAGTTTTTCATTTTAAACGGTTTTTGTCCCTCGAATTTATTTTAACAGATTTTTCTCGTACGTTTGACAGTTTGTATGATTTTTGTTCCTCCTAACAGTCGTTAACTTTTTCTATTAAATTGGACTTGAAGAAAAAAATTAATGACGATTAGACAGATTGACGGAATTCGTTGAGAATCGACAAATGTGAGGGACAAATCTGTTAAATAAAGTTGAGGGATGAAAACCACTGAAAATGACAAATATTAGGGACCAAAAGTAAACTTTACTCTTTAGAGAATAAATACTTCTTTTTAAAGGAATAAATACTTCTATTATATTCGAGGCATATGTGCTAATACTAATATTAGTAGGTCATTCATCATAAATTTGTGATATACTAAACTTTTAACTATAAGCAATTTTTAAGATATTTATGTATTGATATATTTGTTGTATAATAATATTAAGGTTTTGAAAGAAAAAAAAGCATTATGGCATTATTGTCGAGGCATGACCTTGCTGTCACGTTAAATTTCGTGACATGACTTTAAAGCATGACTTGCAATATGATGTGTTACAGCAGGTAATAAACTCTAAATGTGTTATGGTATGAAGTTTTTTTTTTTTTTTTTACATTTTTAAATATAATTTATGACCTACTAAATTAAATCTACAAGATTCTAGTTATTTATTGGAAGGGGGAACTCACTAACTATTAGTTTAAGGCGAGGAAGGTTTTGAATTTAATTCCGATAACGAAAGATTCTTAGATATAGATGATGGAGATTACATGGAAGAATAGTTCATTTATGTGATACATCTAATCTAATCCAATCTAACATGTTTTTATATGGTGAATTCGGTCCCTAGTACCTCATCCAATATTAAGTGAGAGGGGGGGGGGGTAAGAAGTAGGCGTATGTGAACGAGAGAGGTATCAATACCAACCCTCTTTTTGTAAACGATATTAGAATTATAGGTCATACATGTATGGATTATGGAATCATTACTAAAGGGTTAGGTTCTTATGAAAACGAGAGTTAAGGTGAGAAACGTAAGAATGGATAATCACCCTTAGATACACATTAGGATGAGATGCATCGAAATGCAACAGATCAGTATCCGTATCAAGCGCGATTATTGGTGGGTTTGAGATTAAAAGTGATTGAAAGTCTAGATACATTCTTACGTTTCTCATCTTAACTCTCTTTCTCATACGATCATTTGCCTTATTAATAACATATTATTTTTGTTACTTTATCTTGATATCATTTTTGTAAGCTATATATATTTGATATGGTGATATGAAATTATCAATGTGTGCTTCTTCTTTTGTTTATAGTGTTACATGAATTTGATTTGTTAATCATTATTGTTTAGCACAATGACACACACAAACATGTGTGTATATATATATATATATATATATATATATATATATATAAAGAGAGAGAGAGAGAGAGGGGTTCAATTGAGAAGTGGTAAGTATTTAAGAAGTAAATAGGTGATTATAGCCCTTCATATGGTCAAGATTGGTCAAAGATTGCGTCTTTAACTGATCAAAGATTGTGGCTTTGACAGCTCAAACATTGTAGCTTTGATTGGTCAAACGAAAAACAGAGAGTTAGTTTCGTAACTTTTACGAATAGATGTCAAACAAGTGCATATGTGAATCAGTTAATTAGTTCATATGTCAATCAGTTAATTAACTCATATGTGAATCACACGGGTTTATATGTGAATCGGTTATTTAGTTTATACGTGAATTACACGGGTTCATATGTGAATCACATGTGTTCACATATACAATTGGTCTGTCGTCTATTTGTAAAATTATGAAACTACCCATCTATCTTATGCATATCATGCGGGAATTTTACCTATCACATATGATCCACTATGTGAATTTTCTACATATCAAATATGATAATAGAGGGAGAATCAAACGAGAATGATACATATTTAAAAGAGTAACAAAATAATTCTGAGCCAATCATTTTATTAAATAATATCTGAAATAAAACTTTTTTAAAAATCATCCAAAAGGGCATATGTATCATTTGTTATATACAGATTATACATAGAAATTCATTTGTTTATATAAAAATTATTTAATGAATTTAATTAAGATATTTATTCATGATTTTTTTTAAAATAATTTTTGTGATTTAAGCATGATTCTTTTATTTATTTATTATTTTTTTACAACATTTAAAACAAGTGTGATCTAGTTTTTCATTTAAAATGTTTATTTTTATTGAAGTGCTTCATTTAAGAATTTTTTTACAATTTTCGTCAAAAATTATAAGTGACATCCAGAATTAATCAACGTTTTTTTTTCTTAAAAAGGAATCGTTAATTTTCGTCAATGTATCATGATATTGATCATAATAGAAAATAAATGTAAGTTATCTACAATATTACATGTGATATGTGCAAATTATGAATTACGTTTTTGAAATTCATATGATCTTACACATTTAAAATGTGTTTTGCTGCATATTACACGTGATTATATTTTTCAATTATTTTTATTTGTTAATATTTAATTTGAATTATTGTTTTTTAAAATAAATTATATGTAATTAAGAAAACATTTAAAAAATTAGTTAACTGTGAATCAAATATAATTTTGACGAAAATTGTAAGTTTTAAAATATACTACTTTTAATAAAAATTAAACAACGTTTATGTTTAATACCTTGAATATAAAAAATTTATTAAATAAAATTAAATCATATTAAAATCACAAATAAAAGTAAAAAGTAAATTTTAAATAAATTTTATATGATTAAATTATTTTTATAACCTTATTTATTTATTTTTAGAATTAATTATTTAAAGTATTATTTAATGAAATAACTGGTCGATAATTATTCTCTTGTTATCACATGCGATAATATTTATATCACAAAAAAACCTATAATTGTAAGTATACATAATCATATATGATCAACAAAAATATATACAATTATCACATATAATTGATCCGATCGTCGAACAAATTATTATATGTGGTAAAAACTTATAATCAAGTTGTTACAGATTTATCTATAATAAAATCGATTTAGTAAGGATTAGAAATCGGTTTGTCAAACAAACTCAATCATGATTTATTAGGGATTATTATAGATAATTCTATCATTTTGAATTTAATTTGATAATGTATTATTTTATCCATTTATTAAATAAGGTATTTGGTTTATATTCCTTTTTGTCTTATCACAAAATAGTTTGCTTTCGCATGATCCCCCTCTATAACAAGATGACCAAAAGTTAATGCAAAATGGTAATCACAATGGCTAAAATTGTAATTAATTAAAAAAAAAAAAACGAGAGTTGCGAATGGGTGTCAACTAAGTGAACCAAAAGTGTAATTTATTATAATTTAAAAAGAGTAAACTATAATTTTGGTTCTTGTGGTTTGTCGAAGATAACACTTTTCGTTCATATAGTTTTAAAATTACAAGATGACCATCGTAGTTTGTGAAAACGTACTGGTTTGGTCCCTTCCTCTAAGATCGTTAAATAAGAAGCATTTTCATCGTTTTATCGACTTTTTCTCTTTTACTCAATCAAATCCGGATGTTCTTGAAAAACACGATGACCGTCTTGTTATTTTAAACTTTTAGAAATGAAAAATGTTATTTTTGATAAACCTTTATAAATTTCAACTAAAAAAATTATAAAATGAAAAGGAGAAAAATACATAAACAATGGGGAGAACGGAGGATTAGATGGAGGAAATTAAACCAGACGACAATATTCTACAATTATATTACCTCTTAATCGTTTATCTTTGGATTTTTCTCAAAAGTTATTAGGTCAACAATAATTGTGGACCCACTAAACGACAAAATTTTAGAGTTTTGGCCTAGGTCCATAACTATAGGTCTTATGGATCCGGTCCAAAACTCATTTTCCTTGAATTGTAATGTCAGATCTGTAAGTGTCCACCTTTATAGAAAAATGGGTTTTGGGTCGGATCTGTAATAGATGCGGACCAGTGCGGTGGTTACGGACCTGTCTTAAAAACGTTGACTTTTTATCGTTTTAATGGACGACGAAGGTATTATGGACCTAGTGACTTTTAAATAAAGTTCGAAAAAAATAATTTAAAAGATTAATTTAACTTTAAAATATAATAATTTGAGTCAATTTCCACTCTCAAGTCAAGACGTTAATTAGAGTTGGAAGAAAGGTGGCGGCATGGCAGTGGTAGGCAGGGGAATAATGGGCTTTTGAATTAATATGACTGCAACCATATATTTTGGTGTGAAAATTATAGAAAATAAAGAATAAATCTTTAT